AGGTAATATTTGAACTCCGTCTTTCTGACTCCAGATCCAGTACTCTTTCTGGGAGCCAGCAACTTCAGAGCCACTCTAGGCCAAGAGGTAGCTGAACCAGAATGCTCTGCAAGTGGTCTTCTTTCTATTCCACCATTTAGAACTGTGTCATTCAATCCACTGAATGCTGAATTGGGCTCAGAAACCAAGGGTTCACATTTCATCTCCAACACACCACCAGGTATGACATTAGGATAAGTAATTCAGCCTCTCTGAGCCTCCATATTTTAAGGTTTATAGGGACCTCATCATGTCCAATCAATTGTATGATTTGGACCTGCCAATGAGAAAGAGGTTCTACCTGAACTATCTGGTTTTCTTCATCCATTAAGAAATCCATGAAGTACAATCCATTTACCCCCATTAGGTCTTTGCTGACTATAAAATATGTCGGCTGCTTACACTTAGCAATCCTAATGAGGGCTTGATATGCAAAGCATCTACAGCTTGACTCTCCCATATTCTGAAAGGTATATTTGTTGAGCTCTGTGGTCCTCAAATATATAAGGTCTAGACAGTTACTGCAATGTGTTAAGACCTTCTTGATTCAAACAGTTCCATGTCCATGGGTTCAAATCCCACCACTTTTACTTCCTGGGTGATCTTGGACAAATCATTGAATCTTTTTGGGTCTCAGTTTCCTCCTCTATAAAATGAGAACATGGACTAATAAAGTGCAAATTCTCAAAGAGAGAACATGCTAACTAATATAACTGAGTGGTCATTTTGCAGTAAACAAGTTTATCAAAATCCTTTTTTTTATCATTATCTTTGAATGGTATAAAGAACAGGAACTCTGTCTTATAATTCAGGTCATTTGGCAGGAAACTATTCTGATAAAGTATTCAGAACTGAAACAATGACACAAGGTTGCCTGCAATATTGACCAGTCACAGTTAAAGAAACAGCACATAAAAGGTGACCAGCATTAAGTAGTCTACACAGATGATGTGTGTGTATCTCTATGTGCTTTAGGAAGGTCCGTCACAATATCAAAAGAACCTTCTAATCTCCTCTAGCAAATGCACTTTTAGATTTTAATTCTGAGATAAAATGCATGCCAGTTGAATGTCTATGAGTTTTCTGTAATTCATAGTGGGTAAATCATAAATCCCTCTTCCTGATCTTAAATTAAGTCCTGACAACAAAAATCCTCCAAACTCTAGATGGAAGGCAAATTTTGAATCCCTCACCAGAGCTCTTCAAGCCAAGCTAGATGACCACTTGTTGAAGATAATGTTAAGGAGATACAGGATCAGGCACTGTTTGGACCAAATGGACCCTGAGGGACCCTATAGCCTGAAGAACTCTTAATTAAGTACTCACAATAAAGATATCCTAGTGCATTTGGCTGATTAATTATTCAATTCATTGATTTCTCAATTTTTATAAATGGTTTTCTTGGATAACAGATTACAACTCCAAGCATTTAAGAGACAGTTGGATGACTGCTTTAACCTCAGATAGTTAAGGAGTCCTCCTCCTAAGGATAACATTTTTCTTTGTTGTTTGATCCCATCATCCTCCCTTTTCTCTTCTGGGAGGCTGCCCCACAGCCTCCCAGAACATTCTTCTCTTTGAAGAGAAAGTTGGTCAACCTCTATTCTCCTCCTTTGCCTTTCTGGACTTTATACCATGTCTCCATGGAGTTTCCCCTTCCCACTCCCCAAACTTCACCAACACTTCCTATACACACACACACACACACACACACACACACACACCATATACAGACATTTTTTAGCTCCTGTTTATATGTCATCTTCCCCTACTAAACCTCCCCAAGGTCAAGCACTGTCCCATCTTTCTTTCTTTGTTTTTGCCTGTATCTCCAGTGCTTAGCATGGTACCTGGCATACAGTAAGCATTTAATAAATGTTTGTTGTCTTGCCCTGCCTTACCTGATTTCTCCCTTCATTCTAGTTCCTTAGCTGCTACTTTCAAATGTGTTCAGGTCTTCCTCATCCTAAAAACATAACTAATTGGGCAAACAATAGAAGGCTTCTTGGCCCTTCTTGGCTATTGACTCAAGCTAACATCTGATATCTCTCATTCATTTCACCACTAAAATCCTAGAAAGACTCATCTGTTTGTTACCCGTTTTCTCATCAATCAACCCCTTGAAACCTAACTGTATAAGGAAACTACTTTCTCAAAGCTCCTATGTGCTAAATCAAATGACCCTTTCAGCCCTCATCTTCTTTGAACTATCGGAACTTTTGGACACTATTGAATAATATTTCCTTTTGTACACCCTTACTTTCCTTGCTCCCAAGGCACTCATTTATCCTATTTCCCCTTCTTCCTGTCTTTTCACTCCTTTTCAGCTTCCTCGGCAGGATCAATATCCAACTCACAGACCCATTTATCCAGCGAGTAAATGTATTCCTCCAGGGACTATCCTGAGTCTCTTGGTTCTGTCTCTACCTTCTTTCATTTGGTGATCTCATCTTCTTCCGTGGGTACAATTACCTCTACATAGATAACTCCCAAATTCCTATACACAAATGTACGTACCCTAAACTCAAGTGTTGTATCTCCAAATGCCTGTTAAACGTCCTTGTCTGGATGTCCTGCCAGACCCTCAGCCTCATCATGCCCCAATATGCTTATCGCTGCCAACCCACACTCACAAACATTTCTATCTCTGTTGATTGAACCTTTCTATACCTGTACACACAGGTTCATAACTTCAGATGATATCATTCACACCTATGGTCATCTCTACATTACTTACATACATACTCATACATCACTTCTCACCTCTCAAAGTAGTTAAGAGACTTGACCAGGGTCACAAAGCTTACATCACAGGTAGAATTTGAACCCAAGTTTTCCTGACACCAAATCACTCTTATCTACTATATCCCAAAATGTAGTGATTTTTATCACCATTAATAACATAAAAGAAATCTGATCCTATCTTAGAAGAATAAAATTTACCGTTATAGAAATGACCATCATCAGCATCAGTGTCATTAAATATGTGAAGAATGGACCTGAGAGATGGGAAATAGAAGACAATTTGGATTCTCTCACATCACTATCTCTCTCTCTCCCTCTAATCCATGCATCAAAGGAATGCTAAACCCAGGGCTGGCCATAACACTTCGCTCGAAAACTGAACAGTCATGTAACCTCTCAGCCTCAGCTTCTTTATCTATAAGATGTGTGTGTGTGTGTGTGTGTGTGTTTGTGTATGTGTGTGTGTACACTTGATGAGCCTCTAAGGTCCAAATCTATGAGAGTGATATTAGAGTCTATTTAATGCAACCCTACATTTTACAGATGAGAAAGCTAAGACCTAAGGAACCTGAATGATTTGCTTAAGGTGACATGTCAAAAATGGGATTTGAGCCAAGTAAAGCATCATTCTACTTTCCCTCTCTGCCTCCCTCTAGGGAATCTTAAAACATTTCAAACAGTGCTCACATTCTTTGGTTTCAAATTGTTCTACACCCTTGTCCTTCCTTGCCTTTATTAATTATATTGCCTTCTAAATGCTACTTATAACTAACCCTGAGAAGAAACAGCAGAGTACGAAACAGCAAAGATAGAGGACAGGACTGAGATTGCCTAAAGGTTATCCCAAGTTACAGGAGGGAGAGCAGTCTAAGTTAGAGCTGATCCTGCATTATTTAGACTGTCTGGGGACTCCGTGAAATTTGTTTCCTTCCTTCTGGGGGTTAAGTCTCTATTCATTCTTACTGATGTGTGATTGACTCCTGTGGAAGATGAGAGGGAGAAAATAAGCACTTCTCTCCTCTTTGACTCAGGGAAAGCCAACATGTTTGCCCAGCATATTCTGGATTACCTTACTCTTTACTGTCATATGTTTACATTATTAGAGAATGGCCAGTGAAGTCAGATTTCTAAAGAAAAAATGGAAAGTTCATTTGCAAAGTCCTCAAAAAAGATGAGATTGTTACAGGTCATAAATTTTAGGGCTGGTAAGGATCTGTCAAGATCATCTCATCCAATTTCTTTCATGTCACAAATGAGGAAACAAAGTGCAACTGATCCTACGGTGTAGTGGAAAGAGGACAAGAACTAGAGTCAGAGAACCAGATTTCAAATCCTACTTCCAAAATTTAAAACCTGTCTGGTCCTCAGTTTCCTCATTTGTAAATTGAGGGGGCAGGACTAAATCCCACCTTTGAGAGATCCCTTACAGTTTGACATCTGTGATCCTATGTGAGTTACATAAAGTAACATAGCCAATTAAGAGCAGCATCGGGATTTAAACCCAGATCTCATCTAAAAAGTAAGAGGTTTGGAATTGATGGTCTCTCTTCCAGTTGTAAATCTAGGATCTTTATTATTTTCTAATTCTAAATCCAGAGGCCACATCATGATGCTAGTGTACAGAACAATTCAAAGGTATACAAAATCCCAGTAGAATATAAGCTCCTTGGGGGCAGGGCCATTTTGGTTTTGTCCTATATCCCAAGTACCTTGCATAGTACCTGGCACTTAGCAGGTCTTAAATAAAGGCTTGCTGGATTGAATTAAATTGGACTGTTAGCATCTGGGCTCTAACAGGACAGAGAGCATGCTCAGAACCAAAGGATCCATGTTTGAGAAATGATCATGATGGTGAACTATGTTCCAAAGTTTTGTTATGCTCCTAAAGACTATTGACTTCCAATGGCAAAATTAGGCATCTATTTTCAAGTATTTCCTTTAAAGTTTTCTCTTTAGTTTTTCCCTTCTGAGAACTTTATTTATCCTTGGCATTTTACTAAAGAACTCCAACTCATAGCATTTATAGCTGTCAGAAATCCATACAAAACGTAATAATTATAGCTCTTACCTTGATAAATGGAACTCCTGTAAATATGTGTTACAGTAAGTTCACAAAAGGCAGAAGAAATGCTTTTTAATGAGGATGAACAAGAAATTATTTTATAACAGCTAATAACATGTCCCAAAAAAAGCTTAATCATATACCAATTACTCACCATCATCAGCATCAGTAACATTAAATACAAGAATTGTGGATCCTAGAGGTAGATTCTCCATTAAAGATGTGCTATATGAAGTCAAACTGAACACTGGTGGATTGTCATTCACATCAAGAATATTAAAATAAACACGGATGGTCATGAATTGTCCTCCACCATCTTCTGCACGGGCAGTGAGGATATAGTACTGCCGTGTTTCATAGTCTAAGCTTCGAGTCAAATTAAAGACTCCAGTGACTGGATTAAGGAAAAATATCCCATCTTCATCATCTTCACTCACAGTGTATGTAATTTCTCCATTCACACCAGAATCATCATCCGTAGCTAGAATGGCAGCCACTAGAGAGCCTGGAAGAGAATTTAAAAATCCCCCTAAATTAATTCTCTGAGAATTATTAATTTTGGAGAGGTGTAATTTCATCAGTGTGGAGAACTCCATCAGTGTGGAAATTCCACCAACTCAGATCAATCCTCGGCCAAAACGTATAGTCTTAGAGAGTTTCATGGGGCACGATTAAGTTAAATGATTCACCTGTGACATGAGCTTCTTGCTGTCCCACAAACAAGACACTCCATCTCTCAGCTCTGGGATTTTTTCTATCTGTCCCCCATGCCTGAAATCTTCTCTTTCCTCTTCTCTGCTTACTGCCTCCCCTGGCTTTTTTCAGGTCACAACAAAAAATTCCATCTTCTATAGGAAGCCTGTCCCAACTCCACTTATTTCTAGTGCTCTCCCTCAATTAATTATGTCCTATTTATACTGAATATAGTTTGTTTATGTGTATTTGTTTGTTGTCTCCCCTACTAAATTGTATCTCTTTCTGTATCCCCAGCACTTAACACAGTGCCTGGCTTAATACTCGTTGCTTAATATTGATTGATTGATTGATTGACCTGTGGACACATAGTTGACATTCAAATCAACAAATGCAGTTTTAAAAAATCATTAGGCATCTACTATATTTCAGCTGATGTGCTAAGTGCTGAGTTTTTAAAAAAGGCACAAGTACCTATTCTGTAAGATCTTACATTGGAATAATATGTGTTAGAGGTTATACATGACCGTAGGTCTCCCAGAGTTCAAAGTCAATTGTTCCTCTTGCTATCTTACTACACTGCCTATTGGCAAAATGAAATTACCAAAATAATACAAGTATTTTTTTCTTTAAAAAAAAGTTTTAACTCAATATCAACGTCTTCACTCCATCTCAGGGAAGAAATGTGTTTATTCATCTAGTGTGAGAGCCTATCAGCTGACAGATACACATCATATAGGTGTTAGTGGCACAGCAGATAGAGTAGCTGGCCTGGTATCAGGAAGACTTGAGTTCAAATCTGACCTCCAACACTCACTAGTTGTGTAAGCCTGGACAAACCACTTCATTTCTGCCTGTCTCAGTTTCCTTAACTGTAAAATAGAGATAATAGCAGCTCCTAATTTACAGGATATTTGTGAGGATCAAATGAAATTATAACATTTATATAGCACCTACTATGTGCCAGGCACTGTGCTAAGCATTTTACAAATATTTCATTAATTAGTAAAGCATCTAGCACAGTGCCTGGTACATAGTAGGCATTTAATAAATGTTCATTCCCTTCCCATTAATAGTGTCTTATTATTCTCAAATGGTGCACAAAACATAATATCTGTATCCCCATTCAAACATAGATGCATATACACAGAGCAGATCTCATCTTTGTAATATATGGAAAACATTCTCTTTGGAATACAAGCAACATTTTGAGTCATGCATCATGTTGTCATATCATATTATTATAATATAGTGGAAAGAAAACTTGACCAGGAGTCAGAACTCTTTAGCCCTGTGACTTCAAATGAGTTAGTCAACTGATATCAGCTTCAGTTTCCACATCTGCAAAATGGAGATAAAATAATAGGACCTTCCTGACTTGCCTTTTGGCATTATTAGAAAACTCTTCACAATTTGGCTTCAACCTCCCTTTTGTCCAGACTTATCTCATATTACATATTTTCATGTATTCTATATGACAACTTAACAGGAAGCTGTCAGCCCCTCCACCCCTTTGCCCCCTTCCCAAGTCTTATCCCCCATCTCTGTGAATGCATAGGTTCCTCTGTCTGTTAAAGTCCCTCCCTTCCTCTTAGGGATAAGCCCTCTTCCATGAAGCCTTCTCACTCCCTCTAATTCCCTGTCCAGAAGAAGGCAACCTCTCTCCACAAATATCTCAGAGAATTTTTCCTTGATTTACCCTTGAACTCATATCATGACATGATCTCTTGGATCAATCATTTGCGCACAATTCTCTCTGCTACTGAAGTGGTACCAAGGGTACTTTCAGTGAACCTACAAAGGATGAGTCGTACTTTTTGTGGTTGTTCAGTTGTTTAAGTCATGTCAGACTCCTCAGATACTGAAGTGGCTTGCCATTTCTTTCTCCAGCTCATTTCCAAATGAGGAAGTTGAGGCAGAGTTAAATGACTTTTCCAGGGTCACACAGCTAGTAAGTGTCTGAGGCGATTTGAACTCAGGAGGATGAGTCTTTGTGACTCTAGGGACAGTACTCTAACCACTGCACCACCAAGCTGCACCATAATACTTTTAGTCACCGACAAAAAGCAGTGTTTTATCTATCTATGCAACAGTCCATAGAATATTAGACTGCAATAACAGCAGGAGAACGACGCATCCTAGGACGATTTCTACCTGCACCCTATTGAAAAAGATGAGAGCAAGATAACAGCAAATGACCCGAACATAATAGGTCAAGGTCTGCAAAAAATCTTATGTATATTGGTTCATTTGATTCTCATAACAGTAAAGAATTACTACTCTCTACAAATCATACACACAGACATAAATCCAAATACATAAAGAATTCATTAAGAGCACTCTAAGAACTGTTATGAAGAGCCTTGCACTTTGTAAATCTAGAAACCTCAACTTCCTGTGTTCCCAGAACCTGCAATTCTGGGAAGTTTCTTTAATGGTTTAGTCCAATCTTATCACTTTGACTTCTTAGTGTTGTACTGTTACTACTCTGACTCACCTTCTATGTTGTTAAAGAAAGATGAAATTTCAGGATTTCTAATAGGTAAGATACAAGACTTCCATTTGGGTAAAAAACTCAACAAAATAATAGTAACACAAGCCATTATCTTCAAGCACAAACTGATGAGTGGATGGGTGTATAGTGAGAATAATTGAAAAGATCAAACCTATCTCAACCTTTCTCCTAAAAGGTTAGGTAAATTTGACTTAATCATTGTTACTTCTATTTCAGATGAAATAAAATGTCAAGTGACTTTCATACTTAACAACAAACATTTGCATTGCACTTTGTGCTTTTCAAACTTTATTGTTTTCAGAAAAAAATTGTTAAAAATATTATACTTAATAATCTGTAGCTAATTTTCTATTTGTAGCTTTGTATTGTAACTGTGACTCCATGCAATCACCATTCCAACCTAGGACAATCCACTAACTTCCTCCTGCATAGTCTCATCGTGGTAGAGGGCTAACCCCAAGGTTCTCCAGCCTTCATCAGCAGAATACAAGCTCTGGAAGCTTCTACCATATTGAAAATATTTGTAGCAATGACTGGACAGTTGGCTTTGTGTCTATTTCTCAATTGCGCAAGGACTAGCATGGATTAGAATGGAGATGCTCATCACATGTTACCTATAGAAGGATGGGTGCTTTTGGTTATGGCCACGTGAAAAGTTAGTCTTAGGGTATAGAAAGGTATACAGGATATATAGATGTACGATATTAGATGAAGATGAGTCCATGCCTATCATAGAACTCTGAAATATTTCCATGGTAAATTAAGAAATGATTTAAAATGTCAAACATTTTTGTGGTGCAATTCTGACTGAGGCATAATGGACTAATAAAAAAGAGAATGACCTCAGCACATAAGTGATTTCCCAAACTGTAAGCATTCTCATAGATCATGCTACTTTTCAATCAAATTTCACCATGGATAACCTCAAGCAAAATTCCAGATTCAACCTTAGTGTTTTGTCTGTTAGAAAATGCAACAGATATTTTATATAGTAAGTAATTAAATGGTACTTCCAGCTCCCATATGAGCTCCTCTAGGGCAGGGATAGTATTTCATATTATTCTTTTTATCCCTATTGTCAAGGACAGGCTTTATATAAAGTAGGAACTTAGCAATTATTATTAATATGACCTTTGAATATTTAAAGACATTATGAATTAATTCTAAAGACATAGGAATTCAATATCTAAAAAAGTGGTCATCACCATCATAATTTATGCAAGAATATGCTGAAAAGCCAAACAGAATTTGGGGGCAGGTAACTATACCCATGGGAGACTATTAAGCATCTCAAGGGCCAACAATAATTTTTATGACAAATAGTTTCTAGCAAAATTTAATTGAAATTTGTTATCAATAATAACTGGAGAAGTGATGAAAAGGGTCAAAAAGGGTAGTCACAGAAGAATGAGAGTCTGCCTATCACTTACCAGGTGTGGTATCTTCTGGAATGTCAAAAGAGTACACGGGTCTGGAGAACTTGGGTATATGGTCGTTCACATCACTAATGGTGATGTTTATCCTCATATCTGAAGACTGCAGGCCATCATCTGCTCGAACCAATAAAGAGTACTTGGAACGGCGTTCTCTGTCCAAGCGCTTGGTGGCAATCAGTTCTCCTGACTCTGGGTCAATATGGAAGCTGTCATCTGCACCACTAATGATTGCATAGGTGACAAGAGCATTGGCACCCTAGAAGAGAAAGAGAAAGCACCTAAATTACCCCAGAAAGAAGAAGCAAAAACAAAAATTGTATCTTGTAACCAAGTCACCAAAATCATATTTATTCTGTCAGACTTTGGCTTAAGCATTTTCTTTAAATCTTGCTGTTGTACACCCTTTGTTTTTGAAAAGGACCAGTGGCGCCATGGGGTGATGTCTTGACTTGCTCATGAATTGGATTTAAGTGAGGCAGAGTTGCACAAGGTCATCAGCCTCACACTCTCTTCCACAGGCATCAGAGTCCGATGGCAGGACAAAAGTCAAGATGACTGGAGATGGCCTGGGATGCAGTGGATGACCTTGGCATCTTCAAACTCTGACCAGGCTCTAAGCTTTCCACAGTATCTGCTTCAGCTGCTTTCATAACTGTTGGAACAAGTCATTCTCATCCACCCATTCTGCAGGGGAAAGTCTTCCCGTGCTTAGGGTAGACATCCCTCTAACACATAAATGGGATTGAGGCTTGTCGGTTACCCTCAACCTGGGTCAGCCTATCTGCCAAGACAGTTTTACCAGGGTATGGCCACTGTGCATGCTACAGCTTCTTGGAACCACAGGTCAGAGTTGGGTGGAGGGGAGCAGCAAGGGTGAATAAGTGGTCCTGAAAAGGGTTGGACAACCCTCACACCAGAGGTACTGGTTCTCCAGAACACCCCATACATCCCTTAAAACCTCATACCATGGAAACAATGGATGATTACTCCCTGTTTCATCTAGTTAATAAATAAAAATGAAGCCTCTAAACCTTGTGTTAATACTTTTAGACGTTCAATAAAGATATTTAGCTAGCTATGATAGATGGTGTGTCTTGATGGCTACCATACCGAACCTGGAGTCAAAAATTAAGCAGCATTTGCTAAGCACCTATAATGTATCAGGAAATGTGATAGACCTTGGAGAAACAAATGTAAAACAGAGCCATTCCCTGACCACCAGGACCTTAGAGTAAACACTAATGTGAGGCATTTGGTGAGACAACATGTTTGTAGAGAACTAACTATAAGATATATAGAAAATAACAGGCTTTTGTTTTGTTTTGTTGGGGTTGGGGAAAAGTTGATGGGTTCATCAATAGAGACAGGTTAGAAAGAAGAGAGGACCCATGACAAAGCCCAGGAATACAACCAGCAGACCCACACTTAGGTATGGAGGGTGGATGATGATTCTACAAATAAGAATGAAAAGGCTCTGCCTGGTAGGTAGGAAGAGAATGCCATCAAAGCAATGCCATGAAAATCCAGAATATACAGAAGCAGAGCATGGACCACAGGGAGGTCAAGAGAAATGAGAAAAGGTCATTGGTTTTGGCATTAAAAACATCATCGATGACCTTGGATGGAACGGTAGAGCGGAGTAAGCTGGATATGAGCCAGATCAAAAGGACTGAGAAAGCAATAGGAGGTGACAAAATAGAAGCTATGGCTGTAGAGAGCTATTTTCCTCTGGTAGTTTGTCTCTGAAAGGGAGAAAAGGTGTAGGATGGTAGCATGAGGGCATGATAGGCTCCAGTGACAGTTTTTTTTTTTTTTTTAAGGATGGAAGAGACCTGCATATGTTCATAGAAACCACAAAAGCAGCCTGTGGATAATGAGAGGGTGACAAATAAGGAGAAAATAATGGAAAAGAAGGAGGATGTACAAGGAGACAGGATCGAGTAGGCAAGTAGAGGCACCAGGACTGTCAGAAAAGACAAGCCACCTTATCCTGAGAACAGAGCAAACGAGAAAAGCCAGGGGAATAGCCACTGGGGTGGGGACGATTTGAAGCGTGCACTTTGAAAGGACAAAGTGACTGACTAGGCGGCACAATGGATCAAATGTTGGACTTGAGTCAGGAAAACTTCAATTCAAATCCAGCCTCAGACAGTTTATTGACTAGGTGACTCTGGGCAAGTCATTTAACCTAAGTCATGGAAACCTCTCAGTTTCTACTTTTGTGAAATGGGAATAATAATACTAAGCAAGATTGTTTTGAGAATCAAAAGAGATATTATAGGTAGAATGCTTTAAAAGACTCTAAAGAGCTATATAAATACTAGCTTTTATTAGAAGAAAGGATGCATGGCAAATGCCTTCAATTTTATAAATGAAATATGAAATCAAGCCCTCTGCCAATAAGGCAGGAGGAGGGGATGGAGTAGGTGGCTGGAGAGACTTCTTGGAAGATTTAGGTTCAAACCCATAACCATGGACAAGTTACTTAATTTGGCCTAGCCTAAGACAACTCCTTAAGACAGTATTATAGATGGGCTGTGGGCTGTGGAGGCAGTTCCTAAACCTGCAGAATTGTACGCCATTGATGGTTCAGATTGCCTTGAATGAGTTTTTGTACCAGAGGAATGACAGACTATTGACATATGTGCCAGATCTTTGGCATTAGGGATAGATAGATAGATAGATAGATGGATGGATAGACAGATAGACAGATATAGACATAGATGTTGATATTGGCAGATATCTGTATCTGTGTGTATGTGTATATATACATACATACACACACATACATATGTATGCACACATACACACACATATCCTTCAATGGCCGGTGTCTGGAGCACAGATAGGTCATTATGTATGTACGCATGCATGCATACACATATATACATAATACACGTGTGTATTTCTATGCACACATGAATGTATACATATTACAAACATGTGTGTTGACATGTATCACTCAATTTCCTGGATCTGGCATATGGATAGGTCATTATGTACAAGTAAATATATATATAATATGTATATATACATATACACACATACATATGCACATACATATACACACATATATATACATACATATGGATGCAGGGATTTGTAATTTATGGGGGAAAATAAGCCACACATAAGAAAAGATAACTAAAAGATATCAATGAAAGTATCTTAGTGTGAAAGGAGTGGTACAGACAAAATGACATGTATAATGAGGGCAGAATTCATGGAAAGGGTAGAGTCTGGGCAGAATTTTAAAGGTTGGGTAGAAGAATTTAAAGGAGCAAAAAGACAGCATGTTGGATTTGGAAGGCGGAAGCAGAGGATCTTGCAAGGAAAGGAAGCAGAATGAACAAAGCCCAGAAGCAAAGCCAATCAGACTTCTTCATCTGGGAAGGGGTCTTAATTCAGAGGAATAGTAGGAGGCTGGTAAAGCAGGTAGTAGATTTACTTTTTAAGAGCAATGAATGTCAAGCTAAGAAAATCTGCCAAAATATTTCACCTGGGGTAAGCACAGTGTCTTATACATAGTAGATATTTCATTAACATCAGTTGAATGAATAAAGTCACTATTTCTCTGACCCCCCATTTCCTCATCTGTAAAATAAGAGCGTTAGACTAGATTATCTCAAAGGTTGTTTTTAAGTCCAACATGCAAACGTCTGGGAGACTTTATCCTGAAGGCAAAGCATAGCCACTTGCAAGGCTAGGACTGCCAGATAGACAAAGGTATTTTAAGAAGAACAATCTGACAGCAAGATGGAGGGATTATAGCTTGGAGTGAAGGAAGGCTGAAAACATGACAGGAGGGGGAAGTTCAAAGGCTCCTTTCCTTGTTGTGGTACCAGATGATAAGGAACTAAACTCTACAGAGTACTAGTTACTGATTAGAAGGCCATTAGTGTCATTTGAAAGTACCCTTTTGATAGAGTGGAAGGCAGATAACAAGGCTCTTAAAGCTATCACATCAGCTGCTACTGTTGCTGATTTTTAGATCAAAGTCAAGTCCAAAGCAGTTCCATTTTCTAGTTTGTTGATTATCTTTATTCTCCTTAAATAATAACATCCAGGGTGCTTTTGATATTAAAGGTTTTAAAATGGACTGGTGTGTTTTGCTGACTTCCAGAAGTTAAAAATTGAAACAGAAGATTAAAACAGGTTGGTAAGACATTTGTCTCAAGATTCCCTTGTAACTGACTGTAAATGATCTGGATTTCTTCTGGTTCCACAAATTTGTCTGGACTTAATGACACTTACAAAATCTTGATAGCTATTGTCACAGCAATAGCCACAGAAGCTCGAGAGGAGAAAGTTGTTGCCACCAAAGTCCTTGGCTCTGTCAAATGGTTCAAAGTCAGAAACTGATATTTCATCGGTGGAAATGACATGAAAGAAGAGGCAGAACCATCTGCTCTACTGCTGCCCCCCCAACGACCCTGGGACTTTTCCACCAGACTTGGTAGCCTTTCATCTGTGTTATCTCCCCTATCAGAACGTGATGTCCTGGAGATCAGGGACTACCTTCCATTTCTATTTGGACCCTCAGTGCTTCACACAGTTCTTTGCTCATTTTAGGTGCTTAGTCAATGCTTCATTGACTTCCAGAATTCCTTTAACTGGAAACAAGTAGGAAAACAAAGTCCAGAAATTCTCAAAAGCTTATTAAACAAAATATGGACATTTGTGGAAATCTGAATATAAATCAAAGGCTAGCCTCCTGATAAAGCATTTCATTTCCCATAAACACGTGATTCACCTATCATGCTAAGAATTCATAAAGACCCGATATTTTGAAAGATTCAAAAGAAATTACTCAGTATTTAAAAAGGTATTGCTTGGGGGTTTTCCATGGCACTCTCTCTTAGGCACTCTATATTCCATCCCCTGCCACTGTGATCCCATACAAGCTGAAGCCCGTGTCTGGAGAGTATGTATGTGTCTGCATATGTATGTAGGTATATACACATTCACATATACATATGTACATGTATATATATATGCACAAAAATATACATGTGCATATACATTATATATGTCTGCATACATAAATACATACACATATATATACACACATAAATACACACACACATATACATATTTATATGCATATATACATATACACAAGAGACAGAGAGAGTTAACAATATACAGAGAACCTCTTGAGCCCCCAACACTGGGGAAGAAGATCAAATTGAGTAAGCTTTGCATTAGAGATGACCTGGTTGGCTATTGGGGGGTGAACACTTTGAACTGCCCCCA